ATATACATTATACATGTTGGTTATGCCTCGATGTGCTGTGATTGTTGGTGTTATACCCCGCGCTTAAAATCAAAGGTACCGTTACCTTCCAGCTAGCGCCTGGAGAACTGATCGCGCTAATAATCGGAGGCACCATACCCTTCCAGCTAGCGCCTGGTAAACTGGCTTGTTGTTAATGTTGTTGAATGGGGTATATTGTTGGCTTACTACGCACATAGCTAGTAGAGCAAAGTGGGATTGTTGTTGTTTCGTTGTAACTGAAAATATCAGGGATTTGATTGGTTACAGTTCGGAGGACTGAGTTACTCCATTGGTTGATTGTATACACGTTGGTGGGTTGCAAATTTATATTTTTACAAAGATATGCATGTATAGTTATGATAGTAATGGAAACGAACCAAAATGTCATTTTTGTCTTTTGGAAAGTATGGAGGAGAACGAATGTTTTAAAGATAAACATGTTTGAAAAGGTACATCTGAGTATGTATAGGAAATGGAAGAGAGTATCGGGCTTAGTGAGATTACTTCCTAAGTATTTGTTAATGTTATGAAAGACTGGGAATGGGGGTTAATGAAAGGAAAAAGGAAAGACAAACCACTTGTAGCGTTGAATGAAACGGTTGTTTTCGAGAAAAGTTCATACATATATTTTGTATAAACTGTCACATTACTATTCTAGTATGAGAATGAGTGTTCATGATCATAGCTATCTGTGAGGTGTTATTGTTGAGGATCATGTTGAGTTCCCTACTGGACTATATGTTCATCCCACGTTGTTGAATCTTTTTCAGGTATTAAGCAGGTTGAGCTGCAAGATTTAGATCTACTTGTTTACTGGCCACGGGGCCTCAGTTATGTTGGCGGAATGCCATTGTTGTAAAAGGGTTACACCCTTCTTCTTGTATCTTAAGTGATGTAAGCCCAAGGGCAATTTATTAAGTTTGTTCATGTAATATTTACTTTGCATACGAATGAGAGTATTGTTAATCACTTTTACGGATTGAATGTATGAGATTATTTCCGCATGTTATTCTTGAAATTGAATTAAGTTAATGAATTTGGTAATGATTTCGAGTAATAAAAAGTGGGGCGTGACAGAGCCCCTCAAGATTTCTTAAAAATTAATAAAAAAGTTAGATATTGAAATAAACTCCAAACGATCTCCATCCCTCAATCACAAACAAAGCTTGACTTTGATAAAAATCCAACACCTTTACCCACTCTACACATGCTCCGTTAAAAATACATTCATTCCGAAACTTCCAAAAAGACTAAAAAATAGCAATCAGAATTGAAAACCCATATCTTTGTTGGGTTTTAAGGCCAACCCACCTGATAATGATATTGTTTGTTTTTGTGATATTGTTTGATCAAATTTAGCTTTATTTTTGTGATATTGTTTTTCTATAAAATTGTTTTTGTGATCAATTTAATAAACACGCTATTGATCAAACTTATAGAATTGTTAAATTTTTTTGTCTCATAATCTTAGTACAAAACACAAATCAAAGAGATTAAACAGAGAGACACATAGATGTTTGATAAATATAATTCAGTAGTTATATACACCTACTATTGTTCATGATAAATATAATTCAGTAGCAATCAGATGTTTTTTTCATAATCCAATCTAATTCAGTAGTTAAATACACCTACTTTTTTTTTTCTTTTTTGGGTTTGTTTTTGTGATATTGTTTGATCAAGTTGAGAACACCCAAAGATCCAAAAATAAAGCCACAATCACCAACCCCATCTATAGAACAAAGCCCCTCAAGATTTCTTAAAAATTAATAACAAAGTCAGATATTGAAATAAACTCCAAATAGTCTCCATCCCTCAATCACAAACAAAGCTTGACCTTGATAAATCCAACACCTTTACCCACTCTACACATGCTCCGTTAAAGATACATTCATTCCGAAACTTCCAAAGAGACAAAAAAATAGCAATCAGAATTGAAAACCCATATCTTTGCTGGGTTTTAAGGCCAACCCACCTGATAATGATATTGTTTGTTTTTGTGATATTGTTTGATCAAATTTAACTTTATTTTTGTGATGTTGTTTTTCTATAGAATTGTTTTTGTGATCAATTTAATAAACACGCTATTGATCAAACTTATAGAATTGTTAAATTTTTTTCTCTCATAATCTTAGTACAAAACACAAATCAAAGAGAGTAAACAAAGAGACACGTAGATGTTTGATAAATATAATTCAGTAGTTATATACACCTACTATTGTTCATGATAAATATAATTCAGTAGCAATCAGATGTTTTTGTCAGTACCCAATCTAACCCAATACACACCTACTATTGTTCATGACAGAATAAAATACATAGAGACACATTTCAATGAAATCAATGAAGGGTTCAATAAAAGAAAGAGATGAATCCATCTCTTAACATGGGAAAGAGAGGCGGAGTAAGTTAAGAGACACAAACAAATCTAAAATAAACAAATCATCTTGACCCATAGATGTTTGATAAATATAATCTCAACCCTCCGAATGTGAGACAAAAAAAACAAAATTTTTTTTGAAGAGACACATTTTTGCTTCAGAATTTTTGCTTGAAGAAACAAATGTTTTTGAAAAACAAATCAAACCCTCCAAATGCTTCAGAAACAAATGTTTTTGAAAAAAACAAATGCTTCAAATTTTTTTTTGAAAAAACAGATGTTTGATAAATACATTTTTGCTTCAAAAACAAACCCTCTGAATGTTTGAAGAGACACCTTTTTGCTTCAGGAAAAAACAAACTGAAGGTGGGGATGACGGGATGAGCTTACCTGGTGGAGAAGAGAGCTTTCTTCCTTCTTCAGAGCTTCCTTGTTCATTGATACAGATTGATACATATGATACATATGATGTAAAGAAATGATGTAAAGAGTGCCTAGTGCAGTGGGTTGGTGAGAGTAGATTGGTAAACAAATCTAAACCATTGAATTTTGTCATTAATAAATCTAGACCATTGAAACTCTTTTCAATCTCAACCATTGTTTTTAAATTGGACAAATCTAAACCATTAAAGATAGTTTGTGAGAGATATATTTTTAAGAATAAATCTGAGCCATTACTTTTTAAATTAGATAGATCTAAACCATTAATTTCAAAGACATTTTCAAACTCACCCTTTTATTATTATATAGATATATTTTTAATGTATTATAAATAAATAAATAATTAATTAAATAGCGAGCCGGGCCGGGTTGGGTTGCGTTGAAAGTGTAAATCCCAAGCCTAGTCCATTAATATTTCGGACTAAATGTGTTGGCCTAGGCCGGCTCTATGGGCTAAAACAACCTTCTCGAATTCTAGAAAAATAAGACTCGGCCGTGTAGGCCAACGGACCGATATCCACCCCTAACAGGAGTAAGGAGTGTTTGATAATATAATTTAACACTTAAAAATTGAATGGATTAAATGATAATTAATTAAGCACGTTTGATAATTTTAATTGATATCACTTAAAAATTTAGGTGCCTCTTAAAATGTTTAATTCTGACCAGGGACGGCTCCAAGGCTTGGTCAGGGGTGTCACCCGAACCCCCTGGCTAAATTTATTTATTTATTTATTATATAAATATTAGATTTTAGGAAAAAAAATTAGTAATTGAACCCACTAAAATACAATTTTAAACCCATAGTTTTAAGTCCTACTCTTTTAAACCCACCAATCTTGAACCCATATTAGATATTAGCATGTCTTTTTGCTTAAACAATAGTATCAATATATTGAAATATTTTTCTTTGTAATTTTAGAATTTAAATTAATTTGTTAATTTTTTTCTCCATAGGTGATATAATGATTAATGTGAATTTTCTGTAAGATATATGGTATTTAAGTTTTTGATTGACATCACTGACAAAAATTCCTAGAGTCGCCATTGATTCTGACTGAATTTATAAAAAAATAAATATAAATATCGATATACACTATTATAAATTCACCATCACTACTGTTACTACTACCGCTATTACCACCGCTATTACCACCGCCACTACTGCTATCACTTTCATCATCATTGTCATTGTTGTCATAAACACCACCATCATTTTACTACTATTACCATCGTTACTATTCCTACTACCACCATCACCACCACCACTACCACCACCATGCTACTGCTACTGTACCATTACTATCACCACTACCACCACTATAACATAAAAAATAAAATATACAATTTAAAAATAAAAATTTTAAATTTATATATTACACAATTTATTTTTAATCAATACTTAAATTTTTATCAAATAATTTTTTAGCTTAAACATGTAGGGCAAACACCATCTATTTTAGTAATTTTTTGACTTTTTATGAAAAGATATATAAAAAATAAAGAATAATGAGATAACTTATAATGACTTTTAGACAAGTTTGGGAAGTTTGAAAAAAGTCAAAAAGTCAAAAAGTTAAAAAGTTACCACTATTCACCAAAAGTAAAAAATCACGGTTGCACAACTCTCAATCTTAATTTTTCCTACACACTAATTTATATAATTTTTTAATACACATTTTTCTATAAAAGTCAAAAAGTTAATCCAAATAATCATATATTTTTTTTAATTTTTTAATTTAAAAAGTCAAAAAGTACAAAGTATTTCAAACAAATTATTAGGTTGACAAACGAAGCTTAAATGTTGAGCAATTCCTATAGTTGTTGCACTTTTTGATGATTTCTTTCCTGACAATCCATCAGTTAGGAATATATAAAAATAAAAATAATATTATAAATTTAAATTTAATAATTTAAAATTAACACCTTATAATTTAGATATATTTTATACATAGATTTTATATTGTATAAATTTAATTTTCACCCTCCAATCACCGATTTAAAAAATTATGAGTGGATAAATCTGTGATCCAGACTTTTTCTAAAAATAAATATTAAGAGAAGATAAGAATATCCAAAAATGTTATGGCCAATAAAAGGGCTGCAGATATTGACATAAAACGGCGTCGTTTCACTGGTATCTTCTGCCTCATTCATAGAGGTGTCCCACCCTACCCTGGTGAAAATTTCCACCCGATCTCGAGAAACCCAAAATCTCCGTAGAGAATCCAAACCAAAGCACCCACCGACGACGAGACGAGGGTTTATCATCGCCGGACGTCCTCTCACCGCGCCGCTTAGGGTTTCCAAAGCACGAATTTGGAGATTCAGCCGAATCCCCCAACTCTTCGTAAGTTCAGATTTTTCCCAATTTAAAATCTCCTCCGATTTCCAATATTTTTATGTTTGGGATAAATTTCATAATATTTTGGTTCAAGATTTAATTGAATTTGTGAATGTGCCTAACTCAGTATCCCTTTTGATTAGGTTTGCTTCTTTTTGTTTTTGGGTTATTCATCTTCCTTATTATAGGGTTCAGCAGTTATAAGCTTATTTGAATGATCTTATTTAATTTCTTTGGGCAGTTGGCAAGTGTAATAGGAATTGCAGTCTTGTTAGTGGCAATCAAGATTGCTTTTGTTTTTATTTGATTCGGCTTTTGGGTTTTGGATACTAGAGATTATTTTCCTTTGTTTTTGTTGTCAAACACGGGGTTTAGAGGATGGGGGTGGCTCGGAGTCTGCCTCGACCCTGATGCGCTAGATGCACCTCCCAACTGCGGGCACGATTCTCCTCATATGCCCCGACTGACCACACTGGAAGCAGGTAGGTCCCTGTCCCCTACTCTGGGACTGACTCTGGGGGCCATCAAGTGTTTTTCCATTGCTTTTTCAATTTTGTAGATTTTCTATAATTTCATAGATAATTTCATTCTCGTATATTGAGGTATAAGTGATTCTATCTAGTATGGATGATTTCAAGCTAAATATTGATAGACACGACTGGCTGTTTGTTTGGTTTGGGTATACAATTGGTTTTCATGTTTAAGAAAATACATCTCTGATTATGATTCCCTTTTTATCTGTAACAGTCCATTGAAGTGCTTGCCTTTTTATTCTTCTGCAGAGGGAGAGAATAATTGATATCCTAAGTTGACGATTTGAAGTTGACCTTTAGGTTTGCATAAAGTAAAAGTGGAAATCAACTGTGTGAAGATGCTTCAGATCCGGCTCAGCACGGTTCCAACCTCAGACGGGTGGCTCAGGGGCAAAGCCCATGCAAGTGGACACGTGACAGTTGCATGCCCCGACCACCTAGTTCTTGCAGATCTTCCAGTAGCCAAGGGCGCTTGGTTAGCAACTGCTTCTTCTCTTGTCAAGACTGTAGGTCGCAAGTCCCGTCGGCAGCTTGGTGAGCGGGTTCATTTTTGTGTTCGGTGTGACTTTCCAATTGCTATATATGGACGCCTGGTAGGTGCAGTAACTCTTTCACTACCCACTCTAAATTTCATGTTCTTTGAAAGAATTTTTCTCTTCAATCCTAATTTTTTTTTCAAATCGTAGGGAATTATGTCGAATGATTTTAATGCGATTTCATTTATGTCAAGAATATTGTTGACAGTTTCTGCCCTCATGTTTATCTGGGCAGCACCCTAATCCTGCTCTTGTGAGCAATAAATTCAAAGTTGAACTCAAAGTTAGTTGTTCCTACCAGGCCATGTAGAGAGCCATCCACCAATATAAACCTCAACCTTGATTTGCAAATATTTTTTTGAATCTCATAGCAATGTTACTAACTTGTGATATATGTCCAATACTCATAGTTAATCACACCTAAATTGTTTTAATATTGGTAAACTCATAACCACCATATCTATCGTTCATCTGTCTATTTTTGTCTGCATGCATTTTTTGTTTTATTTATCTTTTTGCAATGAGTGTTCTTTGATTTGGAATAGCACATAGAGAGACATAATATCTTATGAACCTTTATTTATTTCCTCCAAACCCTGATTAAGCTAGTGTGTCATGTTTTTCTTTCTCTTGTATATGTGTGTGGGATATTGAGGAATATTTTTGTGAGCTATGAATTTTTTTCTTAAATTTTTTGGATTGCCCATTCATTTGGTCTATTTGGATTCCCTTTATTATTGGTAAAGGAGATCCTGCTCTTATATAAAGCATTGGACAGTTTAAACTGTACTCCATCCCCAAACCATGTTCGGTTAATACCAATTCCATGAAAGAAAGGGGAAACTATTTATTGTTTTCTAAGTTCGAGTGCACAATCCTTCACCTAGCTTCTGGCATGTCTTCTAGGAGTTCTAATTACTTGATTTCGTTATTTGTGCATTAACAAGACTATTTTCTTGCAGAGCCCTTGTGACCATGCCTTTTGTCTTGATTGTGCAAGGAGTGATTCTCTCTG